AATGGCGCAATCTCGGCTCACCGCAACCTCCGCCTCCTGGGTTCAGGCAATTCTCCTGCCTCAGCCTCCTGAGTAGCTGGGATTACAGGCATGTGCCACCATGCCCAGCTGATTTTTTGTATTTTTAGTAGAGACGGGGTTTCACCATTTGACCAGGATGGTCTCGATCTCTTGACCTCATGATCCACCCGCCTCGGCCTCCCAAAGTACTGGGATTACAGACGTGAGCCACCGTGCCCGGCCTAATAGAATGATTTCTAATCCTTTGGGTATATACCTAGTAATGGGATTTCTGGGTCAAATGGAATTTCTATTTCTAGGTCCTTGAGGGATCATCACACTGTCTTCCACAATGGCTGCACTAATTTACACTCCCACCAACAGTGTAAAAGTGTTCCTACTTCTCCACAGCCTCTCCAGCATCTGTTGTCTCCTGATTTTTTAATTATCACCATTCTAACTGGTATGAGATAGTATCTCAATGTGGTTTTGATTTGCATTTCTCAACTAATGATGATGAGCATTTCTCTATATGTTCTTTGGCCACATAAATGTCTTCTTTTGAGAAGTGCCTGTTCATACCTTTTGCCCACTTTTTAATGGGGTTGTTTCTTTTTTTCTTGTAAACTTTGGGCAGTATGGCCATTTTCATGATATTGATTCTCCCTAACCATGAGCATGGAATATTTTTCCATCTGTTTGTGTTCTCTTTTGTTTCCTTGATCAATGGCTTGTAGTTCTCCTTGAACAGGTTCTTCATGTCCTTTGTTAGTTGTATTCCTAGGTATTTTATTCTCTTTTTAGCAATTGTGAATAACAGTTGGCTCATAATTTGACTATCTGTTTGTCTTTTATTGGTGTATAAGAATGCTTGTGAAGATCAAGTTCACAAATGTTCTGGAGGAAAAAATAATAAAAATAAAAAAAAAGAATGCTTGTGATTTTTGCACATTGATTTTGTATCCTGAGACCTTGTTGAAGTTGCTTATCATCTTATGGAGATTTGGGGCTGAGACGATGTGGTCTTCTAAATATACAATCATGTCTTCTGCAATTAAAGACAATCTGATTTCCTCCTTTCCTAATTGAATACCGTTTATTTCTTTTTCTTGCCCGATTGTTATGGCTAGAACTTCCAGTACTATATTGAATAGAAATGGTGAGAGAGGGCACCCTTGTCTAGTGCCAGTTTTCAAAGGGAATTCTTCCAGTTTATTGAGAGTTTTTAGATAAAATGCTGTTAAATTTTGTCGAATGTCTTCCTGCATCCGTTGAGATAGTCATGTGGTTTTTGTCTTTGGTTCTGTTTATGTGATGGATTACATTTATTCTTGCATATGTTGAACCAGCCTTGCCTCCCCAGATGAAGCCTACTTGATCATGATAGATAATCTTTTTGATGTACTATCGCTTTCAGTTTGCCAGCATTTTATTGAAGATTTTTGCATCGATGTTCATCAGGAATATTGGCCTGAAATTTTCTTTTTTTGGTTATGTCTCTGCCAGGTTTTGGTATTAGGATTATGTTAATCTCATAAAATGAGTTCAGGAGTATTCCCTCTTTTTGTATTGTTTGGAATAGTTTCACAAGGAATGGTACCAGCTCCTCTCTTTATGTCTGGTAGAATTCGGCTGTGAACCTGTCTAGACTTTGACTTTTTTTGGTTGGTAGGCTATTAATTGCTGCCTCAACTTCAGACCTTGTTATTAGTCTATTCAGGGATTTCACTTCTTCCTGGTTTAGTCTTGGAGGGTGTAAGTGTCCGGGAATTTATCCACTTCTTCTAGATTTCCTGGTTTATGTGCAAAGAGTTGTTTGTAGTAATCTCTGATGATAGTTTGTATTTCTGTGTAATCCGTGGTGATATCCCCTTTGTCATTTTTCATTGCATCTGTTTGATTCTTCTCTCTCTTCATTTTTATTAGCCTTGCTAGCGGTTTACCTATTTTGTTGATCTTTTCAAAAAACCAGCTCCTTGATTTATTGATTTTTTGAAGGGTTTCTTTGTGTCTCTATC